GCTCTGTGATTAGCCTACTTTAATCGCTACTAATTTAAAAACTATTATAACCTCGACATTTTCGTATTAGGATTTTCGTCTTAGAATGTTCTAAAGAATCCGCACTTAAAAGGAAATCCGCTAGTTTTGAGACACCCTGTATATATATATATATATATATATATATATATATATATATACATATATATATATATATATATTCCAAACACATCTGTCCTTTACAGAAAAATTTAATATTGAAAAGTAGTAATGATTATAGTACAATCAAGCCTCGGTAACTCGAACCTCTACAACTCGAGAACCACTCGAATTTTTTTCCTTTAAAAGCCATTATAATCAGAAAGTTATGAACTCTCGTACAAAACTTCCGTAATTCGAATTTTCATGTCAATTCTTCTTTACTCAAACTTTGATAAGTCAAAACTTCTATAACTCGAAGATTTTTATAGCACTTTGCTTGAGATTCGAGTTATCGAGGTTCGACTGTACTAAGGAACATTAATTGGTTATAAAATTCAAAACATGGAATTTTTCCAATATTAAATTGGTCAATATTGAATGTAATTTCTGTAAGACGCTTTTAAAAACGTATTAAATAATAAATTGATGTATCAGTATTTGAAATAAAAAACTTGCATTTTGTTTTATTATTCGTCAATGGAAATATAAAATTCTCTATAATTAGAAATACAATACAATACCACATAGTGCATTTAACGTATGTTCATTAAGAAACGGTATTAAGTCTTTTACAACTCTGCCTTCTGTTTCTTTCAAGGATTTTGTCATTTTTTCACCTTCCTCGATCAAAATCTTAACAAACTGCTGCAATATATTAAAATGAAATGTGGAAATTAATGTCTTTCGTCGTGAGTGCCACTTGACGCCTAAAACACATTTAACACAATTATATATATAACTGTAAAATAACGCTTTAATAACGCTTTAAAAACAAACATTGCAATAAGATTGCATTCATATTTTTTAATTTAGTTTTAAATGTATTGATTCTTAATAACCATTAGTTATATGTAAGTATACATATTTCACACTTATTCTATCTTTATTGCACGTTTATATTTTTGAGATAAAAAAAATTTTGTGATAAAATATATTAATTGACAAAGAAATTCTTTTACATTTTTAATTTTTTTTTTTCAAAATGTTAATGTAAGATATTGCGAATCTTGACAATACGTATATTTAAAATTGAAACATAAGACGTCTTATTGTTAAAGACGTTTATGTGGAGAATGCCTGTCTACTTCGATTAACTTATGATCTCCCGGTAAGAGGGGCTTTCTTTTCCTACATGTTTTGATCGGATTTTTAATAAATTAACTATGTATTTCATTTTAAAACTCAAGTGTTAAGCTATAAATAAAATTTTGCAAAAGTCGTCTCAGAATTTACTCAAGAACATGTCTTTTCAAGAGAACCTACGCATATAATGTCAAAGTCATTACAATGATACATATAATTGCATTTATATAAAATTTCCAAACTTATTACTTAATAAGAAACAATTATTATTGCACATGTCATATTATTATAATTTATAACATATATTTAAATTTGTTTGGAGCAATTTATTTCATTATCAATATGGAAACTTGATAGCCAAAACAAAACTTAATTGTAAAACTTGTATCCTTATTTATTATTCATATTAATATCATTACCTCCGCTAAGAAGAAGTCCATCACCCAGCCAAGGTTTTAAACCATTATATAAGGATGTCTTTTCAATATGTTTTGTGCTACTTAATATTGTCTAAAATTACAGAAAACTTGGAATTAAACGTTATTTAACTCACATGGAACATATAACCTAAATTAATATAAATAAGCATAAGGGCTAACGAGTCTGTCTAGATGTCCTTGTCAATTAATAAACTTTAATAGATGTACAAATTTCGATAATACATGAAAATAAACCAAACGTTTCGACCTTTAATATGATCCTCTTCAGTGGTCATACTAATAAAATATAATGTTGCCATAGTTTTCACGATACCAAAAACATTAAAAGAATTCATAAAAACTGAAAAAGATCATTTAGAACAATCTTCATGTTGCGACATAGTTTATAAAATTAACTGTTTAGACTGTGAAGCTTCGTATATCGGACAAACAAAAAGATGTTTTAAAACAAGAATTTATAAACATGTTTCGGACATTAACAAAAGAAGTGGTTCGTTTTCTGTTATCTCATTACATCGGATCGAAACAGATCATATTAAGTTTGACTGGGACCACGTCCAAATTTTAAATAATAAAGCACCTTTCTTAAAAAGATCAATTTCAGAAATGGTCGATATTAAAAAACAGCAATTAGGTTTAAACAAGCAGAGTACTTTCCAATGCTTATATCTCCTTCCTCACCCTCATCTCTCCCTCCTAATCTACATACTTTGTATCTCCACTTTTTTTTCCCCACCTCGTTCTTCTTATTCTGCTCGTTAAAACTTTCTCACTTTTGCTATACCACTAACATAATACGCACACAACTTTCTAGGTAACATCTTTTGTTATATCAGGTCTGGGATTTTACATTTATGTTAGAATTTTTAATTTATGACATTAATTTCTTTATTTATTAAAATTTATTTAATTTATTTATTTATTTTATTCATTTTATCTAAATATTTATTTCTTTATTTATTTTCTCTTTCTGTATAATTATGACTACAGTTTGTTTTTTAATAATTTTTATTCTGGCTATTCTCACCTTAATTACATAACAATTTTATCCATAACTTCACAACCCTACATATATATTCTTAGAGGAAGAGATATCCTGGAGACTCAATCATTTCTACTTGTTAATTCAAAGAAGTCTTTGGGTAGACAATTATACTCATACGATGAATGCAGATGCATTTTAATATCGTTCTTCTAACATCAATCACATTTAAGTATTATGTTTGCAAACAAGCTCTTCATCTTGACTCGTTTATTGCGTATCTAACGATTCTTTTTAACATCTTACTAAGAGTGAATTATGTGCGATTAAATTTTAACTCGTTCAAATTGTATATTTTATTGGTATGACCACTGAAGAGGACCATATTAAAGATCGAAACGTTTGATTCATTTTCATGTATCGTCAAAATTGATACATCTATTAAAGTTTATTAATTGACAAGGATATCTAGTCAGACTCGTTAGTCCTTAGAGTCATTCGGGGTAAACGTGCGCATTGGGTAAGTGTGCGAATTGTTTATATCTCAATGGAAGGAGAAGATGGAAGTTAATCACTGTTAGCCGGGTAGTGGCACTTACATACCAGTAAAAAGTAAACAGTAGTTGAAATTCTATGCGCAATAATAAAATAAATATACGCATAGTTATAAAACAGCACGTAACATCGATAGATTTTTTATTACTGGAAAGTGTGTTACGTTAAATTAAAGAAGAAAAGAGATGTGATCACATATTTTATACATAGTATTATAATGTAAGTTTATATTGCGTTACAATATTAGAGGTTGTGTCGGCTATTGTTAGTACTGAGATTTAGGTTTTACAAACATTGCTTTGGAGTACGAGGGCAAGTGTACGCATTCGTTTATTTAGCTGCGCAAATTAATCTCAGTATACTAATGATAATCAGCATAATCATCAAGTTAAATAAAAATGTTTAAGCCAGTAAGCAGTAATTTTTTATTTTAATTTTGAATGTGATTTAAATTTGATATAAATTTGGTAAATACCTCTACCAAAACCTTTGTATGTGAAAAACTGTAATCTATACTATATTAAAGTTAATGTTCAAAAAATGTCTTAAAAAATGTTGATTG